CTAAATCACAGATGGAACCCTAAGATAACCTCTGTGCTGATCTTAGTCAGGGCATGGCTAAATCACAGATTGAACCATAAATAACCTCTGGGCTGATCTTAGTCAGGACACGGCTACCTCACAGATTGAACCCTGAAACAAACTGTGGGCTGATCTAAGTCAGGGCACGGCTAACTCCCAGATTGAACCCTGGAACAACGTCTGGGCTGATCCAAGTCAGGGCACGGCTACCTCACAGATAGAACCCTGAAACAACCTCTGGGCTGATCTAAGTCAGGGCACCGCTAACCAACAGATGGAACCCTGAAACAATCTCTGGGCTGATCTAAGTCAGGTACTCAGATTTATTTCTTCACTTTATTTCTTGACCTATTACTACTATGATCATGATAATAATTAAGTATTTTATGTGCTTTGATATATCAAAGCATCATGATAAGTATCTTGTAGAAGGAAAGTCCAAGTTTAGCATGAAATTTGAGTTARAATGTTGTTGTTTATTTCTTTACAACTGACAGAGTGAATATATGCATTGTAAAGACTATGAAGGGTGAGACAATAAATATACTGTAAAAAAGGAAAAAATAGTTCTTGTGTAAGGAATAAAAGTTAATTAAAGATGTCAGCTTGGAAACCTATTATCGATAAAAAAGGAGGGCATTTTTGTTCTTTATATTTCTTACAAATCTGTGCTTTATAGTTTGCCAGTTTCATTGACGAGTCCTAATACTCTAGTTCTTGTCACCCAATATAGTCATTCATTTGCATCTAAAATTTCTAACTCATTTGCAATGTTTTTCTTACTTTATTCGCCTTGAATTTTACATATAGAGATAAACATAAAAATTTCTAGAGATAAGAGTTGTGTTTTTTACTCAACAACTTGGCAAGCAAGCAAAWATTTCTTACCCAAATCTGTGCTTTATATAGTTTGCTGGCTTCATTGAAGGGAACTTCAGTAGGCAAAATTTATGCATAGGCAAACTTTAGTAGGCAAACCAATGCGTGGGCAAAACGATCGGATACCGGATGAATTAGCATAATAGCCAATCACAGTCTATTATATATATAACCATACAACCACACTGGGGGTCAGCACAAGGAATCCTGTGTGCTGTTTTGCTAGGTAATGGGCTAATAAGCCTATGAATCCAGGAGTCCAGCAGAATAATCTGATTAGTCCAGATAATTAGTAATCCAAAAACCCTAGGAACATTTTTCACTAGCCCAGAGGAAAGATTTCCTATAGTCCCAGATTATAGTGGACCAGCATTAGTGTTGAGCACTGAAACACCTTCTGGGCTGATCAAAGTCAGGGAATATGTTACCACTTAAAGATGGAACCATGAAACCTCAAGTCAGAATAACATGCAGAGAAATCCTTGAGTAAAGGGACATACTGTATGTAACAATCTCTACCCACATGTGATGCCGAGACCAGGAATCAAAACTGAGACACTTAGTTTCCTGTCAGTTACAAGAACAGTAGCCATGGTAACAGTACTGTAGTTCTCTCCATCGGTACTGTTTTAAGATACCAATAAGCTACACCTCACCTAGAAGGCAGGGGCTATTTCACCTTGTACTATAATTTATACTTAAAATATATACTTAGATCTCTGTAATGAACTGATACCTTTGACAAGAAACTCAAGAAATAATCACAACAGATCTATCCTTTAAAATTCCTCTCGAGAAAAAAAAAATTATATACAATACAGCTTTCTACCATGGGCAATAAAACAATGGAACAATCTGAATTAGTCACAGCCCCAAATGTTAATGCATTTAAAAGTAGGGTCTGTAAATTAGAACACTAACTTTGATCCTGGCCTACCCAAGCACCTAAGCCTCGAAGAGAGGGCGTGCTTGTAATTGGTAAATGTAAATGTAAATGTAAATAAATGTGAGGCCAATTAGGGGAATCAAGGTATAAAACATTATGAAGCATATATAAGGAGTACATGTTCTGCTGCTGAATGTTTTTTCATCAGTTTAGTTGTGGGTTTGATTCCTAGACTGTCCATCGTATGAGAGGTTCTCTCCTGTGCTTTGAAGGTTTTCTCTAGGTTCTATGGTTACCTACCTAAAGATATTCAACTTGCAAAATTCCAATTCAAATTATATCAAGGTCAAAAGTGTAAACACTGAACTCCTAAAACCTGTAGGTGACCTCATTTGAGGGTTATTAAAACATACAAAAACTTAACTGGTTTTCAAACACAAACCGAATTTGAAAAATACTTTAATCATGGTTTACATGAAGGTTGTTGCAATTTTGTTTCTACCAATGTCCAGCATTTAGTATCATTAAGGACCGGTCATTATTTAACGAGGGGGGGGGGCCACTATTTTTGGGGGGAGGGTCACGATTTTCCGATTTCTATTTTGGGGAGGGCTAAAGAGTTTTGGAGTTGACTTTGGGGAGGGTCGTGAATTTCTATCCGCCTGAAGCTAATTTTA